CTAAACTTGACTTTCGATCAATTTTCAAAATTCGAAAAATCGAAAAACAAGGATACGTTGAATATCCTTGAGAGAAAAATGAATAACCGCGCGAGTCGAGCGTAAAAGCAAACGTTGCCAGGGGAATAGTGAAGGCGCGTAGAGGGGAGGGGAGCTGACATGCTACGGTGGGCCTGAAAACGAAAATAACGAAACGAAACAATGTCGAGATGACGTAATCGTGAACTAGGGCGGAAACAATTGTGGCAGACAAGTGCGAAGCGCCGGAAGCACCGCCTCGAAGCCGCTCCGTGATCCGAACGAATTGACGAAACGCGCGTGCACGTGCTCAAACCTGAAACAATGTCTACCTTAGATCTGTCTCACGATCGAGAGATATATCTTTCCGTCCACGGTGAAAACTCGAAGAGCGCGCGCGACTTGCCACGGTCCTTGACGTTCCACAACGAGATCGATCGATATAGTCGACTAACGAGCGATTCGCGGTCGTTATATCGTGCTAATGAAAAAGAAAAAGAGGAAAAAAGGAACAGAAAACAGGTGAAAACCGGCACAATGGTTCATTATCGTCGAAACTATTGAGAACGAATTTCAACCTCTGCCTCGTTCCTCTCCTCCACCTTTTTTCTTCTTCTTCTTCTTCTTCTTCTCTTCTTTTTTTCCGGAGCGTGAGTCAGAGATATCTACGTTTCGTTAGGCCACGAAAGTTCAGCCGTGTGGCGTAATTAGCCGGTCTATTTATCGGGCGGTTTTCGAAAGGAAACCGTAGGTAGCACGATCCGACTGTGGAAGGTTTTGACGATGAAAAGACGCTTTGCGGCACTTTGATGTGGTGCCCCGTTTGCATAACGCGAGGCGCGAGAGGGGAGCGTAATAACGGTAGCATTTTCTCGATTGTGTCATCTCTCTTCTGAAACGTCGCGTATATTCTCCCGCGGATTAGATCCCCTTGTTTCCTTGCCACGGACGAACCTTAGAATTAACCAGAGGACCTTAAACAACACCGACGATATTATACAATCCGGGACGTGGAATGACTGAATGTCAAACAAAACGCGTTCACCGTCTAAAGTACACAGATATATTTGCTTTGAGATGATGTAATTTAATCTCAGAATTAAAAAAAAACGAATTAAAAAAAAGGAAGTTTCGATTAAAAATATCAAAGCCAATACCAAGATGAAAAATGATTACATGTTTCAAACACTTGTTATTATATATTATCCCTCGAATCTATCATTTGCTATTAATTCGTATATCAAAATTCATATATCCTAATCCTATAATTCTATAGCATATGATAAATAAAGGCAAGTGGAATACGGGCCGTGGGTCTCGGCGAAGCGCGCATCGGGACCACTGGGCCGCAGGAAGAGCTCGTTTTCAGAACAAACGAACCAGAAACGATTAATAATATAGCGTGCGTACGGGCAGAAAAAGCGAAAGTGCACATCGCGTTGCCTGTGTCTCTTTAAAGACTGATCATTAACTTCGAAGGACGAAATTTCTTATCGGGTTACGCAGGAAATCGTAGGTGTTTACCCCGCGTTTTAAATGCGTACGTTTGATTCGATATCTTGGAACGAGGTCTTAAATCGCCCGCGTTTCGTAAGACATACTTTGCCGTAGGTCTCTATCCGATATTTTTCATTCGAAATGGAAACTTTGGAATGTAATGGATCGGAACACGAGAGCTGTTTTTCGAGGTGTATCGAGCGAGCGTTGGAGAATCAGAAAAGAAGAAAAGGGGGCCGACACGGAAAGGCAACAGTGTCGGAATCGTGAAATTGCACCATTTGGGCAATTAGCACGAGCACAGTAGGCCGCACGCGCCCACACCGACTGACTTCCCGCTGCACAACATGAATGAGACAACGAGAACGCACTATTACAACCGTCTAACAACTTTGCCATACTCATTACGAGCGGCACAATGCACGTTGCGGTAGAGATAGATCTCACAACGAATCTTTGACCTCTGAATTTGCATTTAAAGAGCATTCTAGATTTTGTTTCCCTTTGTAATCCTCAGCTGAAGCTTGATTCCTTTCGTCCACGTAATTAACGCGAATAAAAAAAATTACCATACCACGTTGATGCGTTATCGCATTATAATAACGAAATTTACTCCTTCTGTGTTTCAGTCCTTTTTCGGCAGATCCTACAATAATCTGAGCAGTATCTCCGAATGTAAGAATGGCGGGGAGTGCGTCATCAATAAAAAGAATCGGACAGCTTGCAAGGCATGTCGTCTAAGGAAATGCCTGCTCGTGGGCATGTCGAAGTCAGGCTCGCGATATGGGCGTAGATCGAACTGGTTCAAAATTCACTGTCTACTGCAGGAACAACAACAGCAACAACAGCAACAGCAACAACACTACCAACAGACCCTGTCCAACCAACCGCTCACGCCACAGCGAAAACCAATGAGCCCGCCTATCGGACTCCACCCAGGTCAACGAAAGGACGACGTGCTGATGCTAGGTCTGGACGACTACAAGAACTCGACTTCCCCTAGCATCAGCTCCCCCGAATCGCACAACAGTGACAGCTCTGTGGAAATATCCGAAAGAAGAGCAGCCTTCTCGGGGCATCCAGGCTTCAGACCCCTGCATTCCCAGTTGCAACCCTCGGTCGCTGATCTTTCGGCCCTCAGCAAAGAAATGATGAGTTTACCCCTCGGTTTTCACCTAGGTGGCATGTCCCTGATTCCACCCGCCTTCCTACCACCGCCGAGTCTCACCATGTTCTCCCCCTATCATCTGTACGCGACGTCCCACGGAGCTTCCCATCCCTTGGTGCCCAACCATTCTTCGAATCTGCTTCGACACTCGCCCGTGATCGAGGACACGAGCAGTACGATCAGCACTGCAACTACAACCACTACCACGACGATAAGTATCGACAGCAAAGACTCGTGTGGAAACAATAACAACAACAATAACGACAGATACGCGCACAACAATAACGTGCAAACGAGGCAGGGTTCGAACGAAGAGATCGGAGAAACGTACACCAAACGATTCTATTTGGACGCGGTGTTGAAAAGTCAGAGAGCGCAGGAAGGTTCTACGGCGGCGTCTACGAAGGAACATTCCGAAAACGATTCACCGATATGTAGCCCGGGGTTGGAAACGGATTGTCCGCCCCCGCAAGATAATCCCATAGATCTGTCCATAAAGTCGGCCCCCACTTCCGTGACCGAGGAAACGGAAGAGGACGAAATCGACATGGAGAACGTGAGCGATCGAGACAGTCCCCCTCTGAAAAGGAAATCGGTGCCTATAGATCTAACAACGAGATCCTAGAGAAGGCAAGAAGATTTATATTTATACTCGTTCGATCGAAACATCGTTTGTCCGCTCAGAAAACAAACGGAATAATTGGATTTCGAGCGTAAGGAAAAGTAGTTAATCGATATGTCGGATTGCCAAATACGGCTCGTGAGAAAGGGACTCGTGATATCGTAATTAATTACGTTTCCCTTTCTCTCTACCCCCCCCCCCCACCCGGATCGTGTCAATCAGGAAGGCTCAGCGGGTGCTCGAATAATCGAGCAAGATTCCCAGAATCGTACATTATCTTTAATTGCGTTCCCGTAGTTCGAGCAAAAAATTAGCGGATAACTTTTGATCGAGCACGCGGAGACAAATCATTCGCGCCGAATAGTTAAACGCGCTCCAGCCTCGCAATTCCCGGCATAAATATCCGCGCCAGTTGGAAGAATGAAGGATTAACGTCTCAATTCCGGGTAATCACGGCGAGGATCGCGAGTCGCCGATCGATGGCTTGTTGCGCAAAAGCCAATCGACTTTAACGAGAGTCCTCCGCTTTAATTAACGAGCGCGCGCGCTCGTGCGGTAATCACGTAAGACGGAACGAGACGGAGATAGGGTGAGATGGTGCGGTGAGGAGAGAGATAAAGGGAGGCCAGACAACCGGCGTCTGATGCGTTTGCAGAAGCGGGAGAGCGACCACGGTGCAACCGTGGTGCATCGGTTGATAAACACGTCAAACTGCGGGGTGCACGTGTTCGGAACGTGCGTTACAAACCGGTGTACACGTGTAGAACGTTGCCAACCGCTTTATCTTACAAGCGTTCGACGCCTGCCAATGTAAACGCCTCCGTCGCTGCCGCTTTGCCACTTCTTCTCTCTGCTTTTGTCCCACGTCTATTTATTACATCCTTGCGGTTGAGGAATTTTCGATGATACGAGCATCGTAATCGCAAGAGAACCGTGCTCGCTGGATGTCCATGACGAATCCAACGAATGTAGCTTTGAGAGAAAAATTCGGTAAAATTCTCGCGTCTTTTTTTTTTTCTTTCGAAGGATCTTGTTCTCGTTGAAATTGCGCGCACGATACTTTTCCAACCTTCGTTGGCCAATCCTAAATTCCTCGAACTGAGATTTGCTTTTATTAAGATGTTAAGTCATGTGCGATCCGAGTCGCTTGAAAAAATGCTTTTCAATTCCGCGGGATGCTCGTGTTTGATCGATACTTGAGAGATCCGGATGCAAACGAGATATGACGATTTCGAGATAATAAAGAATACTATGTATCTGATCGTCTATAACCGTCCTTCAACCTTATAATCGTATGCATAAGGTATGATGTATGTAAATATCAAGCGGGAACGAAGGTATTTTTTTCGCGTTTCTATTAATCGTGATATTAAATTTTTACAGTGCAACGAAAAGTGTTAATGAGATATCTCTATACTTTTCGTTACGAAAGTAGTCAATAAATGGCCAGTACTTTGTTTAATGAAATTGTTGATTATATTATCGATATCGAATAACGTGCAATCGTAAATGAATTTTATTTAATTGATATCTATGTTCGTACACGGGCACGCTGTAATTCCATTTACCGAAGTATAACAAATAAGACGGGGACGAAAATGTAAATAGTAGTTAGGCAAGATTTGCGTGAATGGGACCCGGGCCAGTACTTACTTGTATATAGCCAATAGATAATAAACTAATAAATTACAATGCTCGAAATAATTAGAAAATGTGATCAAATATTAGGAATAATAAATATTATGCACATGTTGTAAATTACAAAATTGGTTACCAGATATATTGATAAGTAATTCCCTAATTAATTTGAGCAATGTATTTAATGAATTTAAACAATTATGTAAATCATTTTTCCTTAAGAATGAATTCATCAATGAAATACACTATGATATATTATTTCATGCATTTCTAGACATATACTAAAACTCTGCTTCAAACTAATGCCTATTGATTATAAACCTATATAACGCTATATTTCACAAGTAAAGTACAAGTCTATAAATCCCAGGGCCCTTATATTTGTAAATACAAATTACTTTTAAAAGACATAGTGGAAATTGCAGTGTAAAATTTTAATCAGAAAATATTAGCAACGTTTACACTTAATTTACTTTGTTGATCGACAAACACTTTTTAAAGCGATTTTATGAAAATTTTTAACGCAATAACCATTAACTAGTAGAATTAGCAATTTGTTAGAAATACCACTCACTGCCACTTCAATTAGTTAAAATGTAAAATTAGAATGAATTATTGTACAGAATTTTGGTACAAAAAAATTACAAGCATATTAGCAAAAAAAATTATAAATTGTTAAAAATATACGATTAATTTGAAATTAGTTGAATGTTATTTTCAATTTACTCACATTATTAGATTATATCTTTGATGGCATCTGTATATCATATGATTATATGGATTCCAGTGGATTATACGAATTATAGATGATCCCTAAAGAATAAAAAATTTATTATTTTTTCATAAAAAATTTATGAAAAGATATAATCAAAAGAATTTTTATATTTTAACGATTTTTCAAAATATTCTATCTTAAAATAATAACGATTCACGTTAAATATACGAATGAACGAACAGGAAGAGAATTTATATTAAGTTGAGAAAATGCAAAGATATGTGTGTAGTATATTCAAATAAAAGAAAACATGGCCGTGCTAACATGCAACATTTCAACATGAATATTCAATATTTCTTGACATAAATTCTGATCGTTCGAAAATGAATATACATATGCAATAGACCATGTATTAGCAAAGAACATTAAAAATTTGTATTCAAATAGCAGTTATATTCGGTATAATATATATATTTTCATGATTTTGTCTGTTCTACATATTGAATGGAACGGGCACTTATACAATACGCGGGAGAAAAATCGCATGCGCGCCAACCGACCATAATTTTCGCAATATCTTTGTAAGAACCGCAAATATTACGTGAACTAGGTACAGTAAAGTCAATATTCTTACGTTATTACATAACTCACCTGTAAATCGACGTATATTCACGAATATTCACGAATAAGCCGGCAAATAATCACACTAACTTGCACTGACGTTTCGCGCCACACCACTTGTCTAAACACACCGGAAAAGAAGGAACGTGGAACGGAAATGAAAAATGAAACATTCGAAATGGACACTTTACAACGCTAATCATGTATAAATAAAAAAAATATTTCAATTTGCAAAGAATAATTTTCTTAATCAAAATGATTATGTAAAATAATATTTTTTATTATAATGTAAATTGTTCGAGTTTTTGAAAATATATTCATCGTTATCGATAAATATAGTTAAATTAAAATGTAAATTGACGATATCCGGTTCGGATTTTGAAATCGTCGCGTCATGTCTGAATAATTCGAATATTTTTTTCCATTTTAAATAGTATGTGTTCATAGTTCATCTTATTACAAAAAATGTGAATAAAATATAGTTTCATAAGACAGTTATATTTTTTGTCAAATATTCCAAAAGTAAAATTCCAAAATGTTGAAATAGTGATCAAATTTATCATCGTATCATTGCAAAAAATGAAGGGAATAAGTGAGTATTTATTATTTAAAGTAATTAATTATTTAAAGAGAAAGTATCAAATAATGTCGTGAATAAAATTTCTTATTTTGTGTTGTTAATTGAGATACGTGATTTGAATTGTCACATGGCTTTATGGTAAAACGAAATTTAAATTTTAACCAAGGCTAAGTAGAATCAGTACGATTTTACTTATCGAACATACATCCGTGTCATCGGTGCCTTTGATAGTCTAATGCATACTCAGTAGTTCGCATTTTTCCGTGGATTTTCACATTTCACGTTTACTTTCGAACGCGCTACTGTAATACAGATTAGATTTCGAAGTCATTTGTTCACATGGCAATTTAACGTGTGGTTTAACAAGTTCCTTGAGAATCAGTCTATGCACCGTAGCATATCAAATACTCATTATGCAGACCACGAAGTATCGTTTGGCATACTTTAATTCTATCGAGAGCCAAAGTCTTTAATTGCAAGCCAATATCGGTCGACTTCTCATTGACTACTTATTAACATTAGAAAAAGCAATATTATTTATTTTGAATAGTATAAAAAAATTACATTTTCTGTAAACTTATACCCTGTACATATTCAAAATTACTCTTCTTTTTTATAATCTAAACACTTACACTTTTATATATTCATTTTTTTTTTTTTTAATAATTTGTATTTTTATATTATACTCGTGGTATTATGTGAAGCTTATTATTTTTAAAAAAAAATGCAATTATATATGTACAAGCTTATGAAAAGAATATGTTAATGAGTACTGTTAATGAGTAGATTTGGAAACTGAATGACTGGGAGTAAAAACTTCATAATCTACTACAAAAAAATGATAGTCTCCCATAAGTACAGTATTAGAGGCATGTTCGCCATCGTAACTATGAGGAAGATTACTGTAGCTCTCCTTATTTACGTTACAATTACTAGAAATTAGTAAATCAGCACCTGCTCCAAAAATTGGTCCAATACTGTAATATTAATTAAGATTCAGTTAGTTATTAATAAACTTAAAGTTATTGGAATTCGTTTCATATAGGCAAATGAAATAATAAATATTTACTCTGGATGATAACAAAGCGCAAAAGGCTTTTTAACAATATCATATTTCGTTGGAGGTACATCTTGATTATTTGTTAAAGTGAATAAGAAAGCTTTTTCTGAAAAAATATAGTGACCCTTGGCATTTGTTTTACCCCATGGCGCATCACTGAAACCTCCACAAATTTCTCCTCGAGTTCCCTATATAAAACATTACATAATAAACTTTATTTTATTTATATTAAAAAAACATAAATTTCTTACCAATGCAATTACATATGTCGGACAAACTCCATCACAATGTCGGTGGAATGATGATGCAGAATAATCATGGTTAGAAGCTCTGAAACATTTATAATTGGCATATTTATTATTATTTATAATATGTTTAACATTACGTCCTGTTAATCTTTATTAAACATACCGATATATTAGACGCCAACTTTGTTTTGGAGATCCATACCACTGATTGAGAAGACGTTGGAAACCCATCTTATCTCGCGATAGAATTTGTGACCCCGGAAATAGAAATGGACTAACTCTTGGCTGTAACCGCTTATCTGCACAAATTTCTGCATATTTGTTTGGTAGCGCTGCATACCTATACCTAAGACAAAACGTAAAAATCGAAAGCCTCCAAGAATAAAAAGCTTCCGGGCAAACCATACCTTATGGGTTTTGAGCCACTTGATCGATCGGGATTGAAAAATTCGTACCTCTCCAAGGAAAGTTCTATAGGCACTGCTCCGGTTGGTTCTACTTCTTCCGCAAAGACCTGGCTGTCGATTAGTAGAAGGCGAACATGATTTATCACTCCGGATAAATGTTGGCAAACCCTCACGCGCTCCTCCTCTGTCCAGTGTTGAGTAGGCTGCGTCACCCCTGCCTAGGAGCGTGGTCCGTACGGTTAAGCGTTCCTTAACTCGTAATTCTAAATTCCGATCCAAGAACCTAAGGACCCAAGGACCCGGTAATAATCGTATGCGACATAAGGTCTAAGACCTTGCACGACATACGCATGATCAGAGCGTTAAGTCTTCTTGGAATTTTCAACGGATTCAAAGTACTCGGAAACGGAATAGAATTTTCAAAAAAAAGAACCTGATATTTTGCCCAGTTTAGTACTGCTCTCCATACATCTTCTTCCTCCAATCCTAAGTAATCCGAAGATATAAGCTTGACCAAGGCATCCTTTGGAAGATTACAAAATGCTGTTGTTTTAACTGTATCTACAGCATTTTCTCCAATGAAAGCGAAACATCTTTCAATGAAGGAAGAACAAGCTCCTTTGCCACCTGTGATAATAAAAGATATTTTATTAACACATACTTAATATTAATCGATATTAAATTTTAAAATATAATGGCCTAAATAATAATATACTTAACTTTTATAATATTTAAAACATTACCTATTAATTTCACATATTTATTTACATCAGGATTTTATTATTTACAAATATAAATAAAACATTAGATTTGATTCAAAAATATTTATTAAATGTCTATCTAGATCATTATCTATTACAGCAATTGCTCAATCACAATATTTACACCTGGAATTTGTTCGAATACTAAATTGGTACAATTTTAAATATATGGGATATACATTACACAGTTTTTCATTTAATAAAAATAATTGAAGATTAAAAGATTGAAACATGTTCTAAATTCCATTGAAATTAGTATTATAAGATTATAATAACAAATACGTTTCTCAATAAAAAAAACATTATAACTTGTACATGTCAATTTACCATTGTTCTTTCTAATTACATTGAATTATGTATCACAAATATGGTGAACTTGAAAGATATTAACTTTGTCCTTATTATATGTTTTTAAGTCAGTTTTAACATGTAGTTTACATGTTCAATAGCACAAGGTATAAAATAATACATTTTTTTGTGCATCCTCCAAGGTTATGAGTAGTTTAATTCGCTCCTGGATTTGTATTTTGTATTAATGTTATATTGTCGCCTTTTAACATGATTCGTCCGAGTGGTTTTCTGTTCTTTGTCTTCAAATGATATTCCTCCGCATCGTCCAATACTAAATTCATATATTCGTCAAATCCAACGATGTGACCCTCGATTCGTAGGTTGATGTTCTCGAATAACCATACTTGCACGCGCGAACGGTTTTGCAGGTATCGAAATATAAGGTTGATGGGTTGTACCATCACTTTTTGAACTTTTTGAGGTCCTTTGTACGACATTTTTGTGATAATTTCAAAAATTAACAAGCAACGTTTAACACTCGTGCTTTGTAATAGCCAAACGCCGAAAAATATGGCGTCATAATTGTACCAACTGTGTTTCATTCGAGATTTTTCCCTATTATTTCCCTTCTTAAAATATTTTAAATGTCTAAAATTATTTCAACCAAAAATTAATTCAAGCAAATATTACACGTATTACAAAGAAAATTAAGATTCAAAATATTTATAAATTTATTATTTAAAACATTTAATATTTTTAGTAAAGTTTAAATAAGAATATGTTGGTACTACTGATTTTATAAATATCTTATATAGTGCTGCCTCGGTGACAAATATGAGAATTACGAATGACGAATAACGCAGTCGATAAGTATCACAAACTGCAATTTTTTTCTGTAGAAAATATTCTTACCTAATGAGTAAAATATCATAAATTTTAAATATTTTTTTTTTAATAAAATATCTTGTATAAAAAAAATCATTTTTTTCACATTTTCAATTATTAAGAATTTCGTTCATATTTCAATTGTATATTCTGCATTTTTGATTTACAGAAACATATACATTTACCAATTATCTTAAATAATATATTTTATAATTTATATTTCAATAATTAGTATATTATTTTTTATCGCGCATTATTCAACAACTTCCAAAATGAAAAATTGTTTAATACAAAGAAACGTTTAACAATATATCATGAATAACTTACTAGGAACTCGTTCTTGGGCATCTAACGCCGCAGTCAAAAGGGCACACGCGTTTCCTGGACTTAGAGTGGCGGAGACGTGTTCCTCGCAACTTCTCCAAAGTTCTTCGACACCCAATTCTTGCGCAAGACCCAGCATTTCGAATATACCGCTATCCTGTAGCATGATCTACGAAACAGTTACAGAGTTAAATCTGTAGGCCGTACATTTAGGACAAAACTTTGAAACTTTTACCAATACTTTCCTCCATGTTCCACGCATCGTCGCAAATTCATCTGTTCGAGATATTATTTACCTTGCCTGTGTACACGTAATGGATAAATTGTCGAAAAGTGTCTGGATGAGCGTGCGGCATACGCATCGGGGTTGGATTTCCCGGTGTCCCGATCCTCTTCGCGGCTGTAAAGTTCTTGCACCTAGGGAAATCGAAGCAGCGTATCGATTTCAAACAATAATTACCATGGGTTAGAGGAGAAAGGGAGACAATGAAGGAAGAGCATTGCTTTGAATCGGGCGGGTGTACTATGGGTGCGTGACCCTTCTAACGAACACCCACCACTTCACCTTTCGTCACCTTCGCTACTACTTCTAGCAGTGTTTCGTGTTACAAAAGGGCTTAATTGACTTCGTCAGGAAGCTCCGTAGCCACGAGAGTATTCGCAACGTATGCAGCCAGGCTTTAGTTTTCGTTCCTCTAGAAATTAATGGCAACCTTCGAAAAGTCACTTCTCACCCTCTTTTTCCCCTGCGGCGAGCCCTCCCCCGTAAGGGAGAAACTCGCAAGAACAAATCTTTCCTACTATTTCGTGCTGAAAGCGGAGATTCCCTGTGACCCATTGGGAGAACATTCGATCTCGGCTTTTCTAACGTGCACCCTCTCCTACAATGAGCACAATGCGACTAGATACACAAAAGGGAGGTTTTTAATATCGACAACTTCAAATACGAACCATGTATTTCTCTTTTCTTTTTTTCTTTATTTCGAAATCGTTGATATATTTCATATCAATATCTGCATAAAAATTAGTGTACGTACATCGAGTAATTTACTTTCGACGATATTGTCCTCTTGTCTATTTTCTCGATAACATTATTTTTTTTTTTTTTTCGATTTCAAATTTAACGTTATCTCAAAGGAAAAGAGTACTTTTACCGTTTAAACTTTTACAACACGAAACGAAATTGGAATTTCGAGTCGTAATTAAGCAAAGCGAGGAAAAATTGAATTGGAAAATTGGAACACAAACGGTAGAGGAGCTGGATTTAAGACGCGAAAGGGAGATAAACTTTTAAACGAGCCCTTTGGATCCAGTGAAGACACTGAAACGACCCCCGAGTTTCTAATACCACTAAGCCGAGGCAAGGTAAAAAGATTTCGTGTGCTAGAACGAAGAGGTCGCGGTGCACAAGAGTTGCGGGAGGTAAAGCGCGTGGTACGAACGGCGTCCGTATCGAATCAAAAGAAAATCCGTCAAAGAGAGCGGGTGCAAATGGAAAAGGCATGCTCGCCGGGCGCTTTGATATTATAACCGACGCGTTAACAAACGCTCCGGTTCGTCGACAGGAGAACGCGAAAGTTGGAAAATCGCAGGGCCGACCTACGAAACATGGTTGCCGTGGAGGGGAGAGACTCGACAGAGGAAAACTAGTGCTCAAAAAAATTAAAAACACGAGCCTCGTGCACAGGAAGCGAGAAGTATATATATATATATGGATGTGTAGCCCTTGCTGCGGGTCGACTTTTAACGGACCGAAAAAAAACTCAACCTTTATGCTTTCACCTGCCAGTTCGAGAGCGATGCGGGCTCGCGTGCATATCAAAGCGTTATAGTTATAGTGTATTTATTTTGTGCAAATTAGAGGGGAAAATATATCCTTTCTCTAATACGATTTTCTTCCAATAGCACGAAGGTTGCACGCGCGATATATTTGAATAAACGGTTTCTGAATCTCGTGATCGTCCGTGAAATTCCGCGAGAAAAATTCGGTATGTCGGTCGTAGCAAGGAGGGAACGTGACCAGCAATTCTGACTAGAACCGTGGCAATATCGGCGAGGAGCCGCTCCACTGCCAAAGAAATGAAAAAAAAAAAAAAAGTGTTAAGAAGGAAAAATAAAGGCGGGTTGGATGTTGTGGGTAGTGATGGATGATGCACGGAACGAAGAAGGAAGGAAAGCGTGGAAGAAGAAGACGAAGGGGTATAGGAAAGGGATGAAAAACGAGAAGTCGGTGAGGAGAGAAGCTTTTCCCTAATCACAGGCGAACGCCGCAGCGGAATCAAAGAAAACCAAATATCAGCGAGTGACGGCGAGAAAAGAATAGGGCACCGCGTGCGCGCGTCTGGTGTGACGACGAGGTGTCACGGGGGTGGTAACGTAGGTTCACGAGGCTCGACGTGGAAAGAGGATGTTAGGGGGTAAGGTGGTGGGAAACGAGGGTCGCGGCTGCTTGGTTTCACGGCGGCAAGGGGTTGAATGTCGCCGCGGGCTCCGCTACTAACGACCAAGCGTGCGATTATATAGCGGCTCCGTCGATCTCCGCGCAAAAACCGCCTCCGCTTCCGGTGCACGAGAGTCAAATTCGCGCCACACCTCCTTGTTTCCTGTGAAACGACTGACGAGAGTCTCACACCGCTTCGGTCCATTATCAGACACCGTATGCCTCGACTCGACAGATCCAAATTGTGTACCATTGTCGTCCAATGCATAATTACTGGCGAAAGCAGCTCGATAACGAACGTTCTTTTTTTCAATTGAAAATCCATCCATCTTCCATTGACGGGCATTGTTCGAAATTCGAGGATGACGCGATGGAAAATTGCGAAAATTTAGGTCTCGTTGATTGCATTGTAATTTCTCTCTGGAACAGCAATTTTGCAATCTTCTTCGATCTCTCGGAAAGCAGATAACTTCTTTTCGATTACATTCGACGTTACATTTATTTGTCTCGAGTCTGAGAGAACCTAAATGCGAGAATTAATTTCTCAAAATTACGATCGAATTATTTCTATTCGAATACCGCAGAATATTCCTAATAAAGCTAATCCTTTCAAAACCGTTCTCTTTTAAAAATCGAAATATGTGATTACCAAATTTCTTTTTTTTTTTCTTTTTTCAATACACGTCACTTGACATATTAATAGCGGTCAGTTCCACGCGGGGATCAATAGAAACGATGGGATTACCTGTTTAAAGTACCATCGAACACCATCGAAGCTTGAGCTTATTTTTCAATTTCTTTTCTCCCGTTGTCAAGCATCGTTCTCATCTGCGTCGCATTTCGAAATGACAAGAACTGGAAGAGGGGGGAGTGGAAAGGTATGGGGATCACGACTCTTTGTCAGGATTTTCACCGGACTGGAGAGCACCGCGTAGAGTTTTGAGTGCGGTCGCGTATTGTCCATGCGTTTCTCCTACGGACGCCTGTCACGAGCATGCGTAACTTAATTTTCCGAGGCCAGTGTTGGCTGAACGAGAACGAAAGAGAGACGGAAGAGGAGGAAAGAGGAGTGATGACAAAAGGACTCGACGTTCCCTTCCACGCCCTGATATCAAAAGGGTTCGCAGGAATATCGTAATTGACTTTACAATTAGCATCGAGCCTATCCACCGGAATGTCGCTGCCTCGATGCTAAGGCCCCTTCACCTAATATCAAACCCTCCTTATTGCAATTAGAATTCTGTCGAGTGAAAATACGGCCTCGAAGACTCATCACAGACGAATCGGCCGCGAGAGAGAGAGCGAGAGAAAGGGGAGATGGTCTCCTCTTATTATCCAACTAATTAGAACGTTCGATCGATTCATTTCGCCGTAACAATCGGAGAGTCCCTTAATTAAAATTCATCGCTAACTTCACCGTCCTCTTTTCGACCAAGAAACTTTGATGACTCGGCGATTTTTCTCCCTGGAACAACCGTTCGACCAAGAATTTTCGTAGAATCTCGCTCGATCGAACGTTGTTTCGCGATTCGAGTGATCTTCCGGCTCCAATACTCCTTCCCTTCCCTTTTTTCCGGGAAAAAAAACGGAAGGAGGGACTATGTAAAGCGTGCAAAGCAAGAACAGTAGGTGAATTATGCATAGATTCCTTCGGCGACTCGAATAATTTAACGAAGTTATTATTTCCTTTCCGTTAGATTCGTTTGCAATTCCGCAGAAAAGTTAACTTTTAGTTGTTCTTTCCTTTTTCTTGTCTTTCTTGCCAAGTTCCTTATACTAAATCGGTTTCACGAACGAAAGAAAAGTTTGTAACGCAGTTACCACGAAATAAGTTCCATTTCGTGTCTCGGATAAGGGAATCGTCGTGTCTTGCAAGAAGTCTCGCGAATTACGAAAATATTTTCCAACGTAAGTTTGTTTCGTTATGCTATCTTTGCATTTTTAAACGATCGAGGAGATTAAGACCGTAATGCGTCATGTTTCTACGTTAATACTCTACTTTTCGCAAAATCATGAGATCCATTATCTTTTCACGAACGTATATAAATCGTATATTTTCTATATATTGAGATATATAAATGTATTTGTATCGAGCTCGATTTCTCGCGTGTATTTCTTTCGTGTCTCCAAGGAAATCCGAGGAATCAGCCGCGAATCGATCAACGAGGCGCGAACTGTTTTAATAAAAATTACGATTAACAATTAATTTGGTCCCAAGATGCATCAAGGTGCGAGCAGTAATAAAATTTCCAATCTCGCTCTTGCTTCGCTTACAGAAACGAGTCGAACTTGTTCGTCTCATCCCTGGAGGCGGTGAAAAATATCGAGGAGGAAACGAAGATAATGTAAATTGTCTCATTGTTTGAATTTCCGCGAGTTTCTCACATGTTCTCCTGATCAACAGGGATATTATGCGTGGGCGCAGGAACGAGATTAATTGAAGCTTATCCAGAAACGACGAATAGAATACTGACCTAGCTTGAAGGATAATTCTGTGAGCGTAAACCGGTGTCTCATCCCTTCCCAGCAGAAAGACAATGTCAGCTGTATCTTTGTCTTCGGAAAGTCGAGCCAAGTCCTCCAGAAGTCTAGGCACGCCGGCTAAACCTGCCTCACCAGATATCCCCGCTGCTCCTGGTGCCGCCCCCACAGCGACGGCTCTGGTCGCCATGATGTGTCGAATCGAGAATCAACTACTGTGTATGATATAAACAGTTATTAATGAGATAGGTTCTTGATGATCACGTCGCGGTTTAGTGTATTTTACTTCTCAATCATTTGTTGTAATAATGATTAAAATTGCTAATTTTAATTTTTAATTTAATATCAATGTTAAAAATGCGAATTCACGTGTAATAACATAAAATTATATGAAAATAATTTAAAGAATCTATCTTCTTGTTTCGTTCTATTTCCTTTTAAAGAAAGAATTTATTTTTAAGTAGTTAATATATAGGTAATATATATAAATAATACACTTAAATATAAGTTTTAAATATAAGCTTAAATATAATCTTCTTTCGTAGCAAAAGAGAACGAGATAGATTTTTTTTAAATTATTTTTTTATAATACATATTGTAACATATAAATCGATATTTTACAATATTTTAATATATTTGTGGAGATCATCTATTCAATAATTAATATAATATAAATCGATATCACGATGCGTTATGTTATATTTAATATTTAGTTTCGTAGAAAACTTCAACATCTTCTAATAAATAAAATAAGACAAAGTTTCTTAATCCAAGTTTCCACTTTTCCAATATTTACACAAGACTTTAAGCCACTATCTATCAATTTTAAAAAATTGTCCTTCCGTAAAATACAAACTTTCCCCCGATATTTTTCTCTTTTTTCTATACACTTTCGATAATTAGCGCAAAATATTTCATTCACCTACAGCTTATTAATAAAAAAAACTTCCGTTACTTCGCGTTCTTTACCTCCCTCCCAAGTACCACGCAACTTTTATTATTCATTAACCTTTCTTCGTTGTTCCCGAAACAATCAAGCTAATTAAGACACCAACGAACCACCAACTACATTTTTTTCGTACACCTATCGCGCGAAAGTTGACGCACTCTGGGATCCGTGCAATTTGCGATAATCCAAAATTAATGGGGATCTCGATCAGAAATAAATCTCGTGATTGACGGCAAAAAGAGGGAAAGAGAGAGAGAGAGAGAGAGTACGTGAATATTATAAGGCGACCGCGTGTGTCATCGTCTCGAAAACATTTTCCAGTTGCATCAACCGCGGTAACGGTTGACGAGTTTCATCGCGGCTAGAGCAAAGGAAAGAAGAAGAAAAGATAAAAAAAATAAAACAAAACCGATTAACGTACAATCGGCGCTAATTGCGCGATTAATATTTGATTTGCACCGCGTCGCGACGCAGCGTCACCCTCGTCCCGTCTCTCTCTTCATTCCGCCCCCTCTCTTTGTCCGTGTCATTCAGCCACGGCTGGTCGATCGACACGGAGGATTTTGTGTCACGGCGGCTGGCTGATTCCCTTTTAATTAGTTCGGGTTTTGTAGTTTTCGAGCGTGTGACGCGCCTCGATTCCCCGGTCATTTGCCCTCTCCCCTGGATTTCCTCGCGTCATCCCGCATTCCGACGTCGAATCTGATTCGATTAAAATGTCATCCGACCAAGGTTTTGTTTAGCGCCCGATTGAGCAGCATGCAAACGGTGAAAAATTGATTAACGAACGGATGTCGCGATCCACCGATTCGACGCACTCGCGATTATCGGTTCAACTGTCGATTAATTAGTTACGATCAAGTGTCATCACGTTCACTGTAACGGGTAGATCTTCTCGAATAATCTGGTTGATGAAGAAGTTTCCGAACAAAGTTAACCTCTCTTCGGTGTGATCGTCGATCTTTCGATGCCTCCAGCACTGAATATAGATGTAATTGGCGCGATCAATCGTTGATTCGACGCGTTTTCGACAATTATTGTACGTGGAAGTTAAAATAATTATATATAATATCGCGTAATTACGTTTTTAAACAAATTTCCTCCTGAATCGCTCCTTTTCGAACTGCGCACAAATATCGACTGCCGCTTCGCACGGTGTTTATTTTGAATTTTGTTCGTTCGATTCTCGTCGCGTTCGATACCGTATAAATAAACACGCGTGTACGAATATAAATAGCACGGGAATTATAACGAACGCTTGTTATCGAACAATATTATCGTCGAACGTGTTTGCGTTTAAACAATTTAAACACTTGATAGAGAAGAAAAAAAATTAATCGTCGCTCTTATCGTACATGCAGAAGGCTCACCTGAGGAACGTAGAATCGCGCGTTTGCTATCACCTTTTTTTCGTCGATCGAGGCGAACGAACGTTGGAAAAGGGTCTAAGCGAACCGCGACGAGCTGAAGCGTTGTTTCCCTGGTACACGTGGACGAGTATTGTGCTCGCACGCGAAACACTGCATTTTCAGCCGATCGGCATCTCACACTCCCACGGGGCGAAACATTGTTTCGTCGAAAACTTTTCCTCCGTTTGTCTTTCCACGGTTTTCCCCTTTTCTACGACGAGGTCCGTTGTTCTACAACGCGGACGCGATCCCGCGAGTATCGCGCATCGAAGAAAAAGAAGGAAAAGGAGAGTCTAGGAAAAACGTGTATGTTCCGTTCCGACCGGAAGTTTCGACGTACAACGCGAGGTATTTCTACGGAGCGAGACGAGTTTTACGAGCGCTGGACCAGGCCTGGCTCGATCCCGCCGCCTTCTTCGGCCCTTCTCCTCTCGCGCAAAGGTGAGCCTTTGCCTCTTTTCAACCAACGACGATTCACTCCTTTCTTCTCGTTCTCGTGTGGCCAATGCTCCTGCAAGATCACTCCACCTCCAGCCGTTGTTGCCAGATCCTCTTTGGAGCACTGATCGCACGATCAAAAAGGATACACGCGCTCTCTCCAGCTAGCAACGGACGTACCATCTAACCTGACCCTAGATCGACACCGATCCCGACTTTTTCTCTCGTTCACTGACTCGATTCACATTGTTTATCCAACGTTCTCTACCTTTTGTTCCATTTTAAATCGAGGTAAAGGCAAGATTCTCTTGCCCCTTTTTGATCGAAATTCTATTTCATTCTCACAGTGGCGTACCTTGTTTTCGAGGCGGGTTTTCAAGCGATGGTTTTGCTTGGTCGCGCGATATTGCCGCAATGCGGTGCTTCCTAGTTTCCTCGACGAAATGAGATCGTCCTTTTATTCGTACCAGACGCTCCTTTTCGACCGTAATTCTAACCGAGTCCATTGGATTCAACGATTCAAACACTTTAACTTGAGCTTCTGCTGTAGATCGCATTTGATCTCAGTTTTTCGTCAGTTCGCCGCCCGTGTTTAATTTACTTTACGGCTTTAGCTCAAACAATTGAAAATGGAATACGATATTAGATAAATATAATTATGCGATTTGAAGTTACATTAGTTTTTGAAAAGTGAAATATATTTCGATGATAATATTATGGGTTTATCAAAATATGGAGTAACAGTGATGTAAAAATTTAAAATGAACATTTGATAAAGATATCTCATTATTGGATTATTTGATGTATAGAATCATTTGTCGCAACAAGTTAAAATTTGTTTAATAATAAAATTCGTTTATGGATTGTATTATGTAATTAACAAAGATATCCATTTTTCAATCGAGAAATATAATTATCATGGAATTTGGGATAGAATAATTTGTAACGTTTGTTTCCGCTATCATTCCAACAGGATGTTACTTTATCTTCCCAAGTTTCTCATTTAACTTTCCGTTCCATCCTCTGTAATACCGCGATATTACGCGATAATAAATTGCAAAATACATATCATATTTGTTCTTTGCGAATGTAGTGATCTATGGTAAAAAAACTTTTGCTCGACTTCTCTCGTATGGAATTAATCGATCGATGGTAAAACAGATTTTTCGATCTATAGACAAAGTGTAAAATAGATTTATTATAGATTATAGACTTATTATAGATTATAAATCTATTATAGATTAAACATAAAATAGATTATCCAATTATTTTTAATGTCATTTAATTTAAAGTCTCAAATTCAAAAAGTAATCTCTATTATTATTTTTATATCATATGTGATATTATCGATTAAAAAAGAATAAAATGGTATTGAAAGGAATTGTAATTCATTTATTTATTTTATTAACATTCATTCTTCAACAAAAAATGGAAAAATGCTCGAAGCATTATATCATTATAACGGAATTGTAATTAAATATTAATATATTAAATGATAATGTAATTATCTATATCAAAATTATAATCGTAATTGATTTCTAGAATTTAGATTTAATGTAGAACATTATCAATTAAAAACAAATATATATATATATATAATTATATGCAAATACTTTTTTTGAAAATTAATAAATTTTATTTTAACATAATTTTTTATAAGATAAAAATTAATATAAAAGTATAAATCTGATTCTAGATCGTTAAAATAAATTTTTTATTATGTTTATTATTGTAATAATACTTATTAATGTTACTAAATAAACAAAATAATAATAGAAATCTAAAAATTATTAAATTACTATTATATTTTTTTATATTTATTATAAAAAAAATTATCAAAATTAAAATAATCTAAAAGTACAAAAAAATTCTAAAACTAAAACTATAACATTTCAAAAAATTTTATCTAAGTGGCATATAGTGATATATGAAAATCTTTAAACATTTGTTGTTTAAAAGAGGTTAAATAATAATTAGATAGAAAAAATTTATCTTATAGTTACAGATAGAATTTATTTTAATTTAAAGATTATTGAACTAAATAAAAATTTATAAGTAACATAAAAAAAAGGATTTAACATATAACTTAAATCAAGATAAAGACAAAAACAAGTAAATTTATCAAATTTACAATATTAAATTCTTTCTTTGTGTATTGCAGCTTTGTTAGATTTACTTGATTATTATGTTAAGATTCTTTTTTTTTTAATTTTTTTTCTATTTCAATTAATATGCTTTTCAAAATTCTTTTTGAATATTCTAGTTATTTTAGATTTTTTCAACTTTAGAAATAATTAATTTCTTCTTTTATGTTTTTCATTTTTTTTTTATTTTGCAATAGTTAATTTCTATATTATATTCTCTTTTTATGTTTGTATATTTATACATGATTTATATATTAATCTTATTGATTAATTAAATTCTTTTATATGTTGCATATAACATATGAGAAAAGGAATTAACATTGTAATACATAAATAATAAATAAAACATAAAAACAAAATATAATAAGAAAATTAATTATTACAAAATAAAAAAAATTGAAACATAGAAAAAGAATTTAATTTCAAAGTTAAAATATTGTAAAGTAAAAGTAAAAAAAGTAAAACAAAAAAAAAAGAGAATTTAACACAAATATAACCTAAATCAAGATAATATAACAAATATATTTATCAAATTTATAGTGTTAAACTCTTCTTTTATATGTTATAGGTATATTTTCTTAGTTATTATGTTTAATTTAAATTAAATTTAAGTTAAATTTCTTATTTATGTTTCTTTTTTCTAATTCAATTAATACTAATTCTAAATTTTTCTTGGATGTTTTAGTTCTTTTAGATTTTTTTTAACTTTGAGAATAAATTCTTTTCCAATATTTCAATCCTCCTTCACTTTATAATAGTTAACTTTCATGTTATATTCTTTTCTTATATTTGTATATTTATTCATCATTTATATATTATAAAATTAAATTCCTTTATATATTCCTTTGTAACATATAGAAAAAGAATTTAATATTATAATATTATAAATAATTCATTATAAATAATGAATATAACGTAGAAAAAAAATATAAGAATTAATTATTATAAAAAGAATTAAAACATAGTAAAAGGATTAATTAATTTCAATGTCAAGAAAATCTAAAAGAATTAAATTAAAGTTACAGGAAGAATTTAACAGAAATATTATTTAAATCAAAAATATTTAAACAACTAAGTATAGCAAATTTACAATATTAATTTTTTGTATATATGTTTTTTGCAATTCAATTATATATCAATATAATCAATAACGCTTGCATAAAATTCTTTTTTAATGTTTTAGATTTGGATTTCTTTTTAACTTTAAGAATTATATTATATTTCTCTTATATTTCAATCTTTTTTCATTCCATAGTAGTTAAATAACTTTTATGTTATTTCAATCAATGTTTTTATCAATATTTTATTCATAAATGATGTATTACAACGTTATACTTTTTCTTTGTACATATTTTTCAAGTCAACTATATTAAATATTAAATATAATAATAAAACAATATGTTGTTATTATTATTTAAATTCTGGAAATCTCTTATAATTATTTAACTCTTGTGTTAATATTGTTTCAATTCTCTTCAGGTTTTCTTGATCTCAATATAAAATATCTTATTAGTCTTTTCTACAATCTCTTTGAATCTTATAATAAATAACTATTTATGTTTTTTCAGATTAATTTAATTGTTATGTTATATATTTTTTTTGTGTTTTTCTGATATTTTATTTTATTTTGATATGTTACATTGTTCTCTTTTAATTTCCTAATTTAATGTCTTAAATTTAAATATTTTAAATTGATCTCTCCTGTTTTAATTATATTAAATTTAATTATTTTTATATTATGTTATATTGTGTTATGTTTTATAATTTTTTATTTTTTCAATTTTTATGAATTCATTTAAGTTAAGTTTTATTAAATTTCTTTTTTGCTTTATTTTTATTTAAAATTTAATTAACTTTTATATTAAATTCTTTCTTTATATTATAATTTCTTTATAATATATTTTCTTTATAATATAATATTTCTTTATATTATAATTTTTTTTATTCTTTATATTATAATCTATTTCATTTAATTTAATTATTTTGTTAAATTAATAATTTTACTAAGAATTATATTATATTTCTAATAAATATATCTTTGCAGGATTCTAATGTAACAAGCAAAAACAATTAATATATATTATACAATATTTCAATTTTTCGCGCGGTTTTAAAATGAATAAATAAGTGTCACGCGCCAGCCAATCAGAGCATCGCTTAGTTCGAGATAAGAGACGAATGAATACGCATCATAGTGCGCATCATAGTGCGCATAGCTTCAGTTTACAGTTGAAAATCGTGACAAGAGGACCGATTATCGCAAATTCGGAATATTTAATAAGTTATTTTACTTTTATTATTACCAAATTTATCAATAATTGTTAATTTAATTTTTCAAATAATCCATTGAGTGTAGTGAAAACGAAATTAATTAATGTTCTGTGTTTCTTTGTGTCTTTTTTTTCGATTGTTCATATGGCGTCTATTGCGTCATTAGCATCTCGGTATCGAAATATTTCGAAACGAAATTTGAAATGGTATATTGATTTTTTTAAATATAATTTTAATTATATACGTTCATTTAACATTATTGATCTTCATTTTTTATCATTTTATAAAAATAAAAGAAATTTTTTACGATTCGTTACGAATTCATTTCGTAAAATCAAATTATTCAAGATCACATATATTCCGAATATATATATCGTATGCAACGTCTCACGTGTGCGTTTATTCTTTACTTTTCTTGGTCTATTGTTTATATTTTGCTCGAGAATAGAAACGTTCTTTATAATATTTGATCGTTTCCAAGAAATTGGATTTCTTTTTATAGATGCTTTGTCTTGTCGAATTACCGATAATATCCCCTCTCCATGTTATTCCATGCGCGAAATCGAAGCGCGAAGAGCCATTATTCATTGATTCGTTGTGGCGATTAGAAGTTTGAAATTTTCGCGAGACGTGTGTTCTATTTAATAAGCAATATTTTAATACTCTATTTTAATATTCTTTTTATAGTTATTTTTTTTTATCATTTGTGCGTTTGTATTTAATTGATACATCTCTATTCAATATTTTATAATTAAAATTGATAATTTTTTGACAACTAAATCATTTTGAGTTCCATATTTGTCATATAATTCAAGTATCGAATTTAACAAGATAACTTATATGAATTTTTACGTGATTTGATTGTTGTGATCATGTGGTTTGTCGTAATTTAATTTCATACATTTTATTCATTCATTTAGAAGATTTGATCTTTTTTTTGAACAGGTTTAATTGATAGCGTCATGATAAGTCTCCGAAGGCGGGAAAAATTCCAATATGGACACCATATCTTTCTTGACGATGTGGTAAAATTTCATATTTCGTATGTATAAATTTTTATTTTATTTTATTGGATTTCAAATATTCATAAATAATTTTTATAATATTTTTATACGTAATTCATAACTAATAATATAAAAAAACAGTATTTTTAGAACAAATCTTTGATGGGAAA